ACCTTTAAAAAGCATTCCAATGTTTTTAGATCAATGTCTCTCGAAAGACATACCTAGTTCAGCCTCAGCTCGAAGTGTTGTATGTCTTTTTAATCACGTCTCCTCAAACTGCACGCAGTGGTTTCCTCTGCTGCTCCCTTTTGCTGATAAAGCTACAGTAGGCAGGACAGAAGCTAACACTGCAGCTTAATGAAGGAATGTACTTCACAATCTCTGTCCTGAAGTACTTGCTACTCACAGAGTAGCTAATATTGACACCTTTGCTCTTTCAAGTGCTTATAAATAGTCAAATCCTCCCTGGACCTAAAAGATGTAAATGGCTCTGTGATTTGACAGTTTGGACCTAATTCTTATTAACAACTTTTTTTTTTTTTTTTTTTTTTTTTAATTTCAAAAGCAATTCTAACCTAAAGTTAAGGATGTTGTTGACGTTGGTTTTAGACACAAAGATGGGTATTATCCAGGTGACCTGCAGCGTTTTTGGATTTACTGCGTTTTACATGGGCTACAAAAAGATGTATTAATACATTTACGAAAATAAATTGTTACGGCAGCATATGAAGAGTACAAAAGAGGTACAAGGTTTGTGTCATCTGGCTATCTCATACTTATTGATCAATGCTGCCAATAAAAATTCTGCCTACTGTATCTTTAACTATACACACCGTAGAACATCTGTGAGGAATAGAACCATAAGGAGATTCTGTTGCAGTTTTTGGACTTGTGGACTTCCTGTATTAGCCTTTCGGCAACTTCTACTCCAAGCGTAGAAGTACTCTCCAATGTTAAAATAAAATGCTCCAGTTCTATCGGAAATCTTCAAACTCTGTTTTTACATTTCTGGTTGACCCTATTTATCAATGTTAGTCTTTTTAATTAGAGAACAAGTTTTTTTTTTCCTTTTAATTTTATGCATCACTGAAAAGAAACACTCAACACAAATACTCAAACCCAGCGTTGAGATCAAATGTGTAATCAATCCATGATTTTTTTTTTTTTTCAGTTTCTGTTTAATCTTGCCCAAGATGTGGGAAAGAACCAGAAAAGACTGTTGGTACTATGTACCTATACTGTTCTCTGACATGTACGTGTATGTAATCTATAATATATTTAAATTGTGTTTGATTTAAATAAATATATTATAAAACGTATTGTTTGCTGAAGTTAGTATTTTCCTAGTACTTTTGGTTGTAATGTTAAAGAAATTGTTGGTATTGGCTTCACAGCTGTCTTGCAGTAAAAATCTTCTGTTACTCCTTCAAGGAGCACGGCTGTTGTTATTATTAGCCAGCAGGGGGCAATGTTGGTCGATCCGCTACGTCAGGGTAAAACAAAAAACACCCCGGTGCTTTAGTAAATAATATTTGATGCGAAAATTCGTCGGAATTATTTAAAAAATAATTCTTATTCCAGGAACAAATTTAACTATCTTACATAAATCAAATAAAAATAAAACTTCTCTCAAATGTTTAAGGTAACTCTGACACCGGTTTTCTGCTCTTCCCTTTCACTATTAATTGACGCAATAATCAATGTTCAACAGCATTAGTAGGACCTCAGCTTTTCCAGGCTCAAAAGCATTGGAATGACAAGTGAGTTGACCGTTTGAATATATTAATAACGACAACGAAATTAAATATTTAACCTCGCCAACTTGTTGAAACAAGGAGGAAACGCGAACCGCAAAGAAATTAGCCTGTGTGCCGAGTTCTGATTGGCTAAAGACAACCTTTCATTAATTTGACTCTTTTTTTTTTTTACATGTAAGTGCTCGTCGGTGTTTTTGCTACGTATGAATAACTAATGGAAAAGTATTTGCAAATTAATATCTTTAGGTAAAAGAAATTCACAAAAATGATGGGAATTAAATTTGGTTTTGTTGCTTCGCAGTTACAGCGGAAACGTACACAAACAGTTCGTAAACTAAGTACAGCGTTGTGCATTTTGAGTCGCACAGCTTGTGGTGGCGTCAAGTTAAACTCACTAAGTTCAAAACGGCCAACATTGATTTTCTTTCACAATAAAAGTCAAGTCAACAACCTATTGACGTCTTACTATATTACGAATACTACCAGCAACATCGCCGCTACTTATGTCAGTGCATCTAAATAACAAACAAATTACGTGTTAACAAATCAAATAAAGTTTACTCTAGTGTCAGCAACCTAAAATGTTTTGGGAAATCGAGTCTTCCGGTGAAATTGTATCCGTCTGGTTGTCATTTGAAACTATTTTAAAGTAAACGGTTGGCAGTACTCTTGGTTTGCTAGCAGACTGTGCAGAATTACGGCGTAGTTTATATTTCTATGGCGAATTCACCGACGTTCAAAATTGTTCAATTACACACAACTTCTTTTTCTGGGCATAACATATACACGGGTGACTGGTTTCTAATATAAATAAGTAATTTATATTTATATTTTCTATTCGCTTAAATTTACACGGGTGACTGGTTTCTCTACTTATTTATATTTATATTTTCTATTCGCTTATTTTTTTATTAATATTTTAAATTAAAATTGAATATTTTAAATTAAATTTGTGTATTATCGGTGATGTATAATTCAAACCTTTTTTATTAATATTTTAAATCGAATTTTTGTATTATCGGTGATGTATAATTCAAACTTTAATGACAATATTCTGAGTATTATTGTGAAAATACGAATTCAAAATATGATAATATTCTGAGTATTATTGTGAAAATACACCGGTAGCTGTTTCTCAATCTTGTCAACTTGCGGTTGGTGAGACTGGTGAGGGCTGTGCTCCTCATATCAGTGTGACTGACTGTTCAGCCCTGACTCTCACATGCGTCTCAGAGAGCAGTGAGATGATGTGTGTGGAGCAGGTGCTGCAGGGACGCTCTCCTCCTGCCTCATGTCCTCAGCTTGACTCTCTCTGACCGTTAGCGCCGAGCCAGCGCTCAGGTTGCGTGGCTGGAAGTTAAAGTCTCGTTCTTGAAGGTGTCTTCTCCAAATGCATTCACTCCTGGGCCGGGAAAAGAAAGAGAAATACGCCGGAATTGGCGACGATCTGATTCGGTCTCCGGGCTTTCCTCCCCACGCTGCCAGCATGTTCAGCTGCGTGGGTTGCTTTTGGGTGCTGCTGTCCTCCGCTCTGGTGGCCGTCTGCAGTTTCAGCTTCATATCTCCTGCCTGGATTGTCAAGGACCAACTGAGGAACCATCATCAGCATCAGCACCACAGCCACCACAACAACCACCACCACCACAGTAATAAGGACTCCGTCAGCTTCGGCTTGCTGTGGCACTGCTCGGAGTCTATGGATCACATGTACCGGTGCTACACCTTCAGTGGACTGGGCAAATTCTCAGAGATCCCCTCCAGCTCCTGGCAGGTACAGTACTTAACCGCACACACCCTTGCCTGCCTGGTAAAATGTGGAGTTAGCAGAACATGTATATTTGAGCTACAGACTTGGGTTTTTGGATAAGTTGTTTTGGAAACAAAAGGCATTGTCTAAAAAGGCCCGCGGGCCAAATGGGACCCACACAAATCATTTTGTGTAGCCCACGGAAAAGTCTTTAATTGTCGTATAATAAAAGACCATGTTGCCAATCTATACCAGACATGGACAAACTAAGGCCCGGGGGGCTGTATGTGGCCCGTTTAGCTTTGTAATCCGGCCCGCCAAACTTGTCCAAATCATATAATTGGTCTGTATTGTAATAATATACTTCTGCCTTTTCAAATGCCCACATTTTACCTCGAGATGGCCCAGAGAAGGCTAAGAGCATTTTAGCATTTTAGCCTTTATGCATGACGTTTACATATCTTGACCTGTCCACCTGTCAAATTTTAGGACCAATCGTGACCCTTGGGCAAAAGTTTGCCCATGCCTGATCTATACAGTCTAACAGTTACCAACCAGATCTTGGAACTGTATTGCTGATGTGGCCTCCCTAGTGAAAATGAGTTTGACTCCCCTGGTCTAAAACCAGGATTCTTGGTGAAAGCTAAAAAATGTACAGCAAACGTTCCGAGAGGAGATTATTTGAAAGATAAAACGTGTAGGAAAAAAAGTAAAAAAAAATGATACTTGAAAAGATTCAGGTATCTGTAGCAGTGGAGGAGCCACAGGTTATGGTGGGAACCTTTGCGTTCGATAAAATAGGACCAGGGGGATTTGTCACGTTATTGGGAGGTATTTATAAATAGATAGATGGAATGATAAAAAACAGCATATAATAACCCCCAAAAATGTATTAAGACCTACATTTTCATCATGGACTTTTTAAAAATGGGGCAGCGGTGGCACAGTTGTAAGATTCCTGCTTGTTTCAACTCACAGGCCCCCGATGGAGGGCTGCATGAGAAAGGGCAACTGTGCTAAATCACCTTGCAAATATACAAAGTTAAAAAAAAAACAAAGTCCATTCGTATGTATAAAAACAATGAAAAATATACCTGATTATTTTAAATTAAAACTCATATGCAGCTTATTGTTTAAAGTTGAAAAGGGAAGCGTGGAACGGTCTCTACTCCACACGCGCCCTCAAAGGTCTCCGTATTCGCATCCAATGTTGGAGCCAGCTTTTTTTTTTTTCAGTTTGTTCAGTCTATTAGTTGTTGGCTGCAAAGCTGCTCCTCCACGGGCTGCTGTCCAAAATGTGGTGCTGGCCATGTCGTACAGGTAGATGACCTCCAGCGTCTTGTTGCACACCTCCTCCAGAATGTATATTAGTTAATTTGGGTTTTCAAAAAATATTTGTTTACATACATTCGTCTATAGTTCCTTCTCATTAGCCAGTCTGTTTTCATGAACATCAGAACCACAGCACAAATATACCAGAGGCTCTCCTCAGAGGTGGCACTGAGCCCATGCCTAGGCATCCAGTGCAGTCTAGTGCTTATCTTCGCAAAACAAGTTACGCCAATGTCAGAAATGTCAAAAATATTGTCAAAAATGATCTTGAACTTATCTTGAAGCCAACAGTTCCGGCGTAAAGTACAGTGAAAATACAATTACTGTAATTTCTGGACTATTAAGTGCGTTCTTTTTTTCAATTTTAATTAAATAAATGTTTTCTTTTTTTTCGAACAGTGTCTGTAACACGGCGGGTTACACGTTAGCTCTTTCCTGCTTTGGCGCCCCGACCGTAGTTGAAATGCACCATGGGAGACTAAGTGATCTGCTCCAGGGCCGACGCTAACATTAGCTCCGGGGCTAACTCCCTTCACTTTGTGCTTGTCCGCAGCAAAGGTAAACAGAAACAGGGAGTTAGCCCTGGAGCTAATGTTAGCTTCGACCCTAGGGATTTGGGGTCTTCAGCTCCTGTGTAACCAACTCACGTTTCAACATGACAGGGCTCAAAAACTGCTCTCAACTTTCAGACATACGCTACTAGTATAACACACAGTAGCCTTCCAGAAAAG